GATATATACGTATACACACACACACACGCACACACACACAAAGACACACACGCATATATCTATATACCTAGTATATTTCACACGATACTAAGTTGAATATTCAAACGTGGTCATGAAAATGATTCGACTGTGTATAAATCTTCAAATGTACACATTCAACTGGATAACACTTTTGGATTGTATGATGATATGTCCACTATACTCTATATGAAGTACAGCGTATTTATGTCCAGTTTTAGGAACTATCAACTCAATTGTGTCACAATGGACTGTACGTTCATAATCTCCTTAAAACGTAGTCGCGAAACGTCACTACGACCCGAGATATACCATACTTTTTAAACATCCTGTATTGCTACGCCCCGAGGGAACAGCCTTATTAATCAGTAGACCTTGTTGTAAGCAAACAATGGCTTCCGCTCGATATCTTGTATATGAACAGTAAGTAAATATTTTATCTGCACTTATATGCGTCCTCTTATATTTTAACTTGAAATAATAGTTGTTTATACATATACGTATGGAGTTTTATATAAAGAGTTAAGTACACCTATGATGCATTTATACTTTTATACGCACGCGATCTCAATTCACAAAGGTAGGAGTATCCACTTGCTTGCCCATTGGTTGGTATTCCATCATCAGAATTCGTCACCACTTTTCAGTTTTCGCTTATTAGTTATGTATCACCCAGTCCCCAGAGAGTTATTATCGTTTTGAACTGGTGACGCTTTTACTGCTTTAGCCCCCATATGCAAAACTCTATAGGTGAGACAGTCGACACCGTTTACTTATTAGTAGTTGGTATCAGTTGGCATTGAGCTTGTTCAGTGGTTAGAACTTACAAGGTGGTAAATATAACCTGCCTTAAATGGTATGCCAGCACAATAACATTACGTATGTAGTAGTAGTTTATCCGAGCAATATACACTCTTGGTGATACGTTGCACTCCTGCTCAATCATCGAATTGTCGAAGTATATACGCACATACATACACACAGACACACACAGACACAGGCACGGACACAGACACAGACACAGACACACACAGACACACACACACACACACAGACACAGACACACACACAGACACACACACACACATATACAGTCGCACACACATACACACACACTCACACACGCACACACACACACACACACACACACACATACCCGCACACACACACACGTGTACATACACACACGTGTACATACACACACACCCACACGCGTACACGTGATATATATATATACGTAGATACGTATAGTAAGAAACATGGGTATATTTGGTGGGTGGAAGAGTGGAGATGAAGACAAGGCTCAAGAGAAGCGACAAGACAAGTCTAAACACAGAGAGAAACACAACCTACGAGGCACTCCGCCACCACGTGGGTCGATGGGACGCCCTTCTGTACCACGACCAAGCGTCGGACATGCACAACCAGTATGTCATGTTCTAAATGGAGCCGTCTCTTTGTCGTGGTTCGTCTTAGCGGATATGTACATGCGTACTTGTGTGCTACTATTTGGTTCTGTGCGAAATATAGAAAGTGCGGGAATGTGCACCAGCTAAAGGCTGTTCTGTTGCATTCTACAGATCATATATATAAATAGAAATACACACACACGCACACACACACGTACACACTCAGATACACACACACATACACACACACACACACACACACACACAC